TACATATACTAGATATTGCAAATAAGGGAAATCATGGGACCTATGTTTCTTTGGGCTTGGCTTACTTGTTCTTTATTTTTTATTTTATTTTGGCAGCACTGGGTTTGAATTCAAGGCATGGTGCATGTTGGACAGGTGCTCTACTTACTACTTGAATAGTCTCCAGTCCTACAACATGAATTTTGTTTTCTTTTTGTGCAAGTACTGAGGCTTGAACTCAGGGCCTGGGTGCTGTACCTTAGCATATTTTTCTCAAGGCTGGTGCTCTACAATTTGAGTCATACCACCACTTTCAACTTATTGCTGATAGAGATAAGAGTCTCATGCACCTTCCTGCATGAGACTGAATTGCAGTCCTCAGATCTCAGCCATGTGAGTAGGTAGGATGACAGGCATGAGCCACTGGAGCCTGTTTCAGCATGATGTTGAGCTTTTTGCTTTTGTTTTTGTCTTTGTTTTTCTTTATCAGAGCTCTTGTTTTTATGTATTTGTTTTGCATTTTGTTACACTTCAACTGCTGAAAGAACCAGTTTTTCTTTTTCTTTTCTTTCTTTTTTTTTGTTTTTTTTTTGGTCGGTCGTGGGGCTTGAACTCTGGGCCTGGGCACTGTCCCTCTGCTCTTCAGCTCAAGGCATGTACTCTACCGCTTGAGCCACAGTGCCACTTCTGGTTTTCTAGTGGTTTATTGGAGATAAGAGTCTCACAGACTTTTCTGCCTGGGCTGGCTTTGAACTGTTATCCTCAGATCTCAGCCTCCTGAGTAGCTAGGATTACAGGCGTGAGCCACTGGTGCCTGGCAGGACCAGATTTTCATATCCGTTAGTTGTTATGTATGTATTGGCAGTGTTGAGATGGGCTTTGAGCATGCTAGGCAGGCACCCTACCACTGAACTACATCACTAGACCTAACTCATGCATTCTCACTTAGTTGATGAGTCCTACTTCAACTTGATTTTTGTGTCCAGTAGAACTTTTTATTTTATATTATACAAGCACTCACATCCACACACATAGAATAGAATATGTGTAGATGTTGGGGGTCTTGCTATGTAACATTAATTCCCTTGCCTTTAGCTTCCCAAGTGCTGAGATTACAGGCATTTGCCACCATGCTCAGCTTGTATTTTTCTTGATTATTAAAATAATATACTATTTGGTGTATACAATTTGCAAAATTGTGTAAAAATAGAGAAGTTATAAGCATGTCAACCTTCCTTTCCTTTTCTGTATCTTTTTTTTTTTTTT